TTTGTGCGATTACATGATAATTTGGAAAGGTAAAATTTTTCTTTATGCCTGCACCAACGCCTGTTAGAATACAAATATGCGGATTATAGCTAGATAGTAAAATATCGACATCAGCAACATGAGTGTTTAAACTTTCAACATTATATAACAGTAATAATAGATTTTGTTTTAAAGACTTAGGAGGAGTTTTTTTCCATTGTTCACATAGTTGAGAGATCGATGTACGGGAGTTCCATTCATTTATTATTTCACTTAGAGTGTTCTTTTCTTTGAGTGATCCGTTGAAATTGCCAGCGACTAGAGGAGAAATTGTCGGCGATGAGTAGTGGAAAGTTGTATTATTCATTTAAAGATATTAAGCTATTTATACTCTGTGCCATTAGTGCATTTTGTTGTTCAACAAGAGATCTAAGTATTTTTTGATTTGAGGTGAGAAAATCACTTCTATCTTTTATGAAGACAAGTGATTGTGAGATATGTTTAAGTATGTTTTGGGTTTCCAAACTATTTTTATTATCCTGTGGGTTCAACATACCAGGTTTGGTGATTATACATTGAAATGCTTCGAGGTTTGATGATAATATTGGTAGAAATTCATTCATTGTTGTGTAACATCTTTCAATATTATCATTTTGAATTTTAACTTGCTGTGACATTATTAATATAATCGATCCCATCTTGCTCATGTAATCATCATACTTTGTTTGCATAAACTGTAATTTTCTATTAATTTCATCATTTTTTTTATTAATTTCATCTTGTTTTAATTCTAACTCTTTCCATATGTTTTGATCGTTCAAATACGGGATAATATTATTATTATTTGTTGTTTTGTTTAATGTTGGCCAGGCATGAGAGAATAAGTTGAATCTTGTTGAGTTGGATTGTAATGTTGAATTGTTCGCTTCGTTAGATGGATTTTTTAGTATCATATTATTTTTAATGCCCTTTTCACGACATTCAATTGGAATGAACATTTGCATATTAGACGGTAATAGATTGGGTTGTTGTTTAAGTTTGTAAACCAATGATCGACGGTATTCAATAATAAATGGGCATTTGTAATCTGTTGCTAAATGGTTTTGTTCGCACCTGTGGCAGCTAATAATGCATTCTTTATGTTCTCCTATTGTACGATCTTGTCCACATCTTCTGCATGCTTCATATGGAAAGTTACAGTTGCGTTTGATATGCCCAGGGTCGTTACATTTTGAGCATATTAATATCTGTGGTGGTGAAAGAAATTCAAATGCATTTATTATATGACCATTTATAGTAATTCCTTTATTGTTAAGTAATGTATTATATTCATCAATAGATGTAAGTTCAAGTCTAATATGTCTGGATTTATCTGTAAAGGAACCTTTCATTTCTTCTAAATTGAATATTGATTTAAACGACTTTTTAGTTTCCATTTCAATTTCTTCCTTGGTAATGTAATTAGGTACAGTTTTGAGTACAATTGAATGTTGCGGTGGTAGATGTTTTGGTCGTGTTGGTGTAATCAAGATATTTTCGAGTTCGGTTGGGTAATTTTGAGGTTCACATAAATATACAAATAGTTCAGTATGTTTCGTGTAGCAGATTAGATCACCGCTTTTATTTATGTACCAGTAATCAAAACCTAGCGGATGTTGATAGTTTTTATTTTTCTGACGAAAGGTTTTTTCCATATATGAGAAAAGTGCTTTTATTACTTCTTTTCCTTGGTTATTTTCATTTATTTTTGGCATGCACTCTAATCTTATTGGAGATAGATGGTTTTCAACAGCGTAATGTAAAGCATGCTGTGAGATTTGAATGCTCGAATTATTGTTTTCATTTAGTTTATTATTTTCGTTCGTGTTTGATTTCTTATTTAATTCAATTCGTAGAGATTCAGTCATCATTTCGTTATTTCCTTTATTATTATCCGACATATTGTAGTTATCATGTATATTTTTGTCATTCTGTATATTTTCTTTCTGTGCATGATTCATTTGACGTGCATAGGATATTTCATTTTTGTTTACATTACTTTTTATTTTACTTTTGCTGTTTAGAAATGTTCGTCCAGTATTTACATTCGGAGCTGTTGTTGAAGAATTTACGTGGTCTATGATTAGAGTGTTTTCGTCATTGTTATCAAATTCATTGTTGCCGTCCTTAGTTCTTTGTTTGCGTTTGCTATTTTTACCAACAGTTATAAAATAATCATTGTCTTCATCATTTGGGTAATTATCTCCAATGTAGCTGGATGATGTAAGTTGCCTCTTGAAAGGTTTTTTGTGTTTTGTCGATGATTCATTTTGTTTTAAATCATTATTCGTGTCATTATTTGGTATATTATTTTGATTCATCCTGCTATTCATTTTTTCATTAATCAATTCACCATTATAATTTTTCTCATCTCCTGACGATCCATCACATTGATTGCATATGTAGTGTGACATATTTTATATTTTATTTTTTGACAACACTTAACTTTTATTAATATTAAATAAATCACGTTATGTACTATACACTCAGTGTATATACATATAAAGAAGAGAAAAGAATACGTCTCACTCCTGACGTGCAAAATTGGAAGTGACGTTGACATAATCTTTTATTGACATTACATTAGGTGATGTCGTTATTGATAATGTTGCTGTTGAAGTGGAACCAGTAGAATTTAAACTTGGTGTATTTGATACAGATGCATTTAATTGTGAATAGCTGGTTTTCGTAGATAAAGATGAAGATTTTGAGCCTTTTGTTCGTTTGATGTATCTGTGATTTTTGTCCTTCAGTACTTCTACCATGTCATCAATGCCTGCTTTGATTCCTGGTTTGACAATGAACTGATGACTATCCTCATCAGTGAAACATATGCGATTTTTTAGCTCAACAAGTTCTTTACATTTAATGTTGAGCACACCAAGAACATCAGGAACATTTATGAGTGTCCTTATATTTTTAATCGACTGTAATTTAATTAGCTCCATTTCATCGTGACCTAAGCATTGTTCGATGAAGTTATAGAATTGTTCGTTCGAGTAAAAAAGAACTTCATCGGGTAAATTGTTCAAGTCGATGTTCATAATTCCACGTGACAATGGTAGACGAAAACAGAAATATATTTGAAACAAACGATATAATTATAAGAGAAAGTGATCGTCTATAATTTTCTCTGCTGTTGTTGCACACGTGATTTTTCTCTTTGTTCAGAAGAAATAAAATAGAATAAGGAAACATTCAGTTTATTTTGTACGCAGCTTGAATCTAAGTTATAGTCTGATACGACTATTCTCTCTGCAAATAAATATCATGTAACTGATATGATGCGTTCTTATAGATCGATTGTTTCTCTCATCATTTTCCTGGAAGAATTAAAATTATAATCTTTAGAATGATTTTCAAGTTAAATCGTTTCTTTTTTTTCATGTAACAATGATGAAATTTCTGAATAACATCTTTCATAATACTAGTAACTATAAGACTTCATCTTCTATCAACCATTATCAAGAAAATTAGTGACACCAAAAGCCGCTTAAAAACAATTTTGATTAGCAAGACAAGTATTTAGACTTGATTAAGCGATACAAATGAAATAAATAAATAGATAATGCCAATAGAAATAGCAAACAGGCATCCTAAAGATCAACTAGAACTCAGTAGAATCCAGTAGAATCCAAAAGAATCCACTAGAATCCAGTAGAATCCACAGAATCCACCAGAATCCACCAGGATCCATAGAATCCACCAGAATCCACCAGGATCCATAGAATCCACCAGAATCCGCCAGGATCCATAGATTCCACCAGGAGCCGTCAAAATCCAAGGATCCAGGAGCCGCTTTTTCCCCCTTGCATATAGCCTTACAATAATAGAATTCACTATGCCATAGCTGGGCTCATACATCATAGCTATTACAGTAACACTCTCATGATGTAAGACCATATAGGTTCCATCATCAATGAAGCATATACGAACCGTATCTTTTAAGATAAAATACGAACATGCATGTAAAGCATATGTGTATCAATTAAGATTCAGCTATTTGGAAATAACGAATGCTTGAGCACACACCTAACTGTGTTTAGTACAAAATATGTCGATCTCATTGCACGAAGGTAGCAAATTTCTCATAGTGGCTGTACGCTGGTTATGTTTATACAATAAAATAAAACAAATAATAAGTAAAGATTAGGTTCTCTTAGGCAAAAGAAATGTCATAACAGCAAGTAGCTCTATCAAAGTTCGATAGTAGAATAGAAGCGCATATTTAGCAAGAAATAGTTCTAACAGTCAGACTTTGGGTCGACTATCATAGATCTAAGATTTGAGAGACGATGATTTTTCGTATGACTTCGTATGGCCATATTCGATAATGAACCAATATCTGGTACGAACATATACAAATTTATCATTGATCCTACTCTCATATTTGCGTGCCTGGAGAAAATGAAATTGAGCTACTCCTCTAGAACTTGATACTTCGATTTCAATGGGTAGCGTTCATGTGTAGAAATAGAAAATTATTTTTTTGATATAGACACTAACACAGCTTTACTTGTATACAAATAAAATTGGAGACAGTGGGGCACAATATTTAGCCGATGGACTGAAAGTCAATAAAGTAAGCTGACTGTTTTCAGATATTTCTTGAGAAAAATTTTGCGTTTTTTTTATATGAAAAGTATTTACAATAGTTACTTTACGTTAAGACCTTGAGATTTCTTTTGATTCATTCATAGGCATCTTTGAAAGAAAATCTTAATCATGTTTTGAATAAGTTAAAAAATTGATATTTGAACAGTTCATTGCGTAAATCTCAGTATCAGTAGAACGTAAATGATCAACGTTTCAAAAGCATGATTCTCTTCTAAATGAAAAATCTAATTCATTCATTTGGAA